ACACAAATTTAGCTTGTTACATCTAAACTAGACCTAAGATTTGGGTGCAGAGATTGAAAGCACCTTGTATTAAATCTACCCAGATCTAGATATAACACTGCTTCATCAATTCTAGATTTAGATTTACTAGGCCTAACTTTTAGAACAAATGTTACATCTAGATCTATTAACTTAGTCATTAGATCTGTTCCAGTGCAATGCCTAATTTAATAGTTAGTATAGGTGATGATGGACCTAGGGCCTAGAAATAAATCTATAACTGCAATTAGACCTAAAGTATAGTACATTAGATGGTGTAAGACATGATTTACAATCAGCCAATACAATTACAAACCACTACATTAGGCCTATAATGTTTACTAGATCTAGACCTTGCCTGTTGCATATATTGCCAATCTTGCACACCAGTTAATATGTTATATTAATCTCGTATTTTCTTTTTGTTGAACATACACTTACTTGTACGTTGATCTACAGATAAATGATGGAATAGTGTAATTTACTTCTGTACTTCAATTCGGTCTCACTGTATTTCAGTGGGCGGATTTTAAAAGTTAAAACTGTGTTACGACAGCGGTAGTCACGTGACTCCGGTAACACGTCATGATATTCTGGAAGGATGGGGGAACATCACGAATAATCCAGTATGTGCTAGGCGCCCTCTATTCCTGTATATAAGTGCGCCGGTTAACGTGAGACTAATCAATGGAATTGAATTGCAGACAGAGATAGAGACGGACAATTGAGTCAAACGCGTGAATCGTTCGTTGTGAATTATAGCGTTTGTTTAAATTATAGCGTGACTGTGGAAATTAAGTGTATTGCCAAGTTTTATTAAGAAAGAATAAACTAGTTTTATTTAAGAAAGGACTTGTATCGCTAAAGTTTCTTCGGAAAGAATTTTTACGGAAAATTAACAAACGAACACAGAGGCGTAACAACTGCAAGCGAAAAACACAAATAACGTAACACTGTGTCGTATTTACTTAACGTAGGGCAGTTGCGCTATATCCCAGAGGAGGGCATAATTATTAATGAATAGGCATTATAGGCCAGAGGAAATTTTGCGCCCCGTCACACCTGCGCCCGGGGGCGACTGCCCCCTTGCCCCTCTTGCTACGCCACTGGTTTAATACATACCTTATTTGTTCAGATCACATTCTGTAAGATTATAAAAGGGTGGTAATGAGAGACTGTACACGTGACACATCTGTGTGTAAAAGAGTTTTTCTCTGGAACATTGAATGATAACAAAGGCTAAGTCGATCTTGGAATACACTGTTTAAAAAAAAGCAGCCTGGTAACTGTTAGCTATTGAAAGCAGTTGAAACATTGGTTGCAGTAGATAGAATCTTTTTATCCTAATATGATAACTCTTTTGAAACAATTAGTTATATTTCCAGCGACAACAAGATCAGTAAAATAATGCATCTTGACATTAAGAAAGTTGAATATGGTAGATAATGGAATAATCATGTTTCAACAATTTTATTTTGTTTCAACTCATAATAAAATCCCAATTTCACCAGAAGAGATCATGAAGTGAATGCTAAGAAGCACCTGCATTTGTTTTTCTAAACTAATGAACTGCCTTTTTCACGGTTTTTCACATAAAATAGAAAATAGTGATAACAGCATATCATAGTTTGTAAATTACATTATCTTACATTCAAAATTTTTATGTATCTGAAATCTTATTTGTGATCGAGGAAATAATACGTAATGAAAGTTGTGAAAAGATTCATTTCTCCAGTATGTTTTCACAACACCAAGAAAAGTGGGCTCCATTTTAGAACTTTCTTTTTTGACTATCTAATAGCTCCGAACCTACTGAAGCCCATTATGCAATAACAGGCTTCAAAACCTATATAGGTAATACCAGTATATACCTGTGATTGATATAACTATTAAGCTACCTTTCTGTAACTTAGTTTGCATAATATCCAACCAAACTTAATGTATTACTTCCAGACTTTGATTGTCTCTCATCGTTTGATCTTGATGTCTGTAAACTAATATCCTAACAACATGAGTGGTTGGCTGAAATTAGAAAAACAAAATTTCGTTGTTCTCTGTATTTACTTGTGAACTTGAATTTTGGCATTTTTCTCAGTATTTTGTCACTTATAACCTCATAAATTAGATCTCTTTCAATCCATCCTGGACGAGAAGTTAAATGTTGTTGTCTGAAGTCTGTCGATTTTATGTCTGTGTCCTGAATTATAGTCAAGTTATACAATAAAACTTTAAAAGTTCTGTAGCATAGTTAAATAAAGAAAGACTACTACAGAATTACACATTAAGATAAAGATAATTAATTGTTCTCTTCTGTACAAACGAATCTGTATTGTTTATTTAGCACATGTTATTCATATTATCATTGTTCCGCCATGTTTTGAGCATGTGCATCACATAGATCTGTTTCATAACCAGTAGAATTCTTTCCAATACATTTTTGTGACTCTATGATTATTGTGGTTGTAGCTTTAATGCTATTTCTATGAACAAGATTGCTATGCCTTGACCAATATTTGAATGTACAGATAAGTACAATTTAGCACTTTCCATGCTGCCAGATAAAGCCCCCAATGCTCCTAATAAATATGGGTTTTTATCTCACCAATGAGACCCATTATGGTAGAAAAGACACCATTAAAACACTAAATTGGTGCTCTCTTTAAGCAAGTGTAAGTAGTAATTATGGATCTTTGTTCTTATGGGCAGCGTTGGTTGAACTGATTTAAAAAGGGTACTGCGACTGCCCTTACTACATGAAGAAGACTACTTGACTACCACTGAAAGCCATTCAGTTTCTGTAATGCACTAGTCACTAGTCAATTTTGACAGACTAATAGAGTTAACAAAGTGTGGTCTACTCTGGGAATGTTTATTTTCATATGTGGATGAAGCACTGGTCTGTGTAGAGACATTTGAAATAGCAGCTGAAAATCTTCTGATTTATTTAGCAGTGGATATAGATCCAAAAGTGAAGCCTGAACATTTTATGTGTTGATGTGTATTTAAGATGTGTTTCTTGGGTATATACTGGCTCGAACTGGCACCAAAATGAAACTTACTAAATAGCATTTGTTCACATCCAGAGAGAGGTACATAGTTTTCTTGGATTTGCAAATTATTACTATTATTACCTATATATATATAGCATACTACTTCACTACAGCCACGCTGTTATCCAAATTATCTAAGATGGATATCAACATCCCTTTCAATTATTAAAGTGTGATTTACTTAAGACGAGGTACTAACTTATCCAAGAACAAACAAGTTACTGTTAGACTCTTGTGACAGAAACACAGACGTAGATGTAGTTCTGTCTCAAGTATAAAAAGGATCAGATGCAAGTTGAATGTCACTACTAAAATTCAAGAAAGAACTGTTAGCCATTATTCACTTCATTAAACGATTTTTTATTTTATTTTTAGGATACCCATTGGAGTAGACCACACTTCACTAAATAGCTTACCAACTTCAAGCAGCTAGAGGGCATGATAGCATACTGAATTATACATCCAGAACTACATAGATAAGCTGCACAATTTACAAAAGGACTCTTATGACAATCTGTGATGACATTTCCTTTCACTCAGCGTCTCAGTCCCGAACACTGTATAGTAAGGAAAGCTGTAGGTTTTCAACTGCAGCTAGTTATAGTAGAAGTACTGATAAATGGAGCCTGGAATAAGTATAAGAAAAACTCTGGGAACAGCTTACCCATATAGCAAGTAGATTTTGGATCAATGTTGAACGAACATGTACCAATACACTGAGCCAATGTTTTGTTTACTCATCAGCCTAATATTGACAGCACGTTGTCTATATTACTATAGTCAACATGTCATAAACAGTATTCCAAATTTTAATATTAATTGCCCAACTAGCAGGAGAATGTTGGTTGAGTGTTGGTCCAGTGTATACATCCACGTTTTTAAACTATTGGGCCAACATTGAACCAGCATGTGATCCATTTTCTTTGGTACTACAGTGTTTGCTAATGTAACGAAAATATTGCCCAGTATTTGTTGTGAGGGTTGAATTTCGCAAAAAGCTACTCGAGGCTACTCTTGTGCATACTAGTGATATTTGAACATACCTCTTTAACGCACCCAAGAACCCAGAGTGTGGGGAATATGTTATGGTATTGTACGGATTTTAAATTTAGAGTTATACCACAGAGGAACCCGTGCATACCATGAATATAAGATTTCCAATCATCATGATCTTAAACTCGTACATATTGACGCTTTTCATCACACACAAATCTCCACCATAGGTAGTGTACTGTTTTCGAATAATTTATACGACTTATCGAGATTACAGCTTTCCTAGGTTGTAAAAACAGAAAAATGTCCGCTTTCTAATCACTCATTCAGATTATTGGACCATTTTCAGTCTCATACAATGTCTTAGAAGCTAAATTTATATATTCAGACGTTAAAATACTTTTGAACATTTTGGTTCCGAAGCACCTATTGAGGATCTTAATCTGTACAGTAAGATGAGCGTAAAGAAAAACTCTATAACAGTTAAGCGAAACAACTACACGCCTGGTACTTAAGAAGAAAGTATTCACTTCTTTAGAGTATGATATTGCATCTCTGCGAATTTCTAAACAAAATCAGAGGTTTATTATAAAACTTGAAATCCAGATTAAAAAATAACAGTCGCTTAACCAAAGATATTTTCCTCCTGTTTTCTTTATTTCGTACTTGCTATTACAACGAAACATTTTCGTGGCTCATACTAAAGTGTCTTCCTTTGTCCCTTTCCTATTCTTGAATTATGATATGAATTATACCTTTAATAATTATCCACATTTAAACAGTGGTTAAATTTTCTCGAGCAAAACTGTTCTTAATTTTCAAAAAAGCAAAAAACCACGGAATGTTTTTAAAATTTTAACGGCATAAAATTTCATAAAATCTGGTTTAGGTGCTTGAAACTTTTTAGAATACGTAGATTGAATTTCAGAGGATACTTACGGTTTTGGGCGTATATTATCAGAAGACGAAGAAAGACGAAGAACAAACTAAGTACGAAGAATGACGTTCTACGCATCTTCTTTTACGAAAAACCTAAAAGAATTGTATATATATTCATTAATCAGTAGTTCCATTGAACATAAAGAGAAAATTAAAGGCTTTGAGGCTAAAACAATAGAAATGTTTGATTTTAGTAATCTTTACACTAGTCTTCATATTAATAAAATGAAAACGAGTAGTTAATCAACAGTTTTAAGATCTTTTAAGAATTATGTTAAATTTATACTTTGCGTTAGTAAACAGAGATATTTCGATGCCAATGCTACTCATAAAAATTACCATTGTTTCACACTAAACGAATTATTGCATGCTATTATTTTTTACTTGAGAACTCACTTATGTAATTAGACCAGCATGTTTACCAACAAATAAAGGAATACTTTTGGGAAGTAACTTCAGCTCACAAATTGCATATTTATACCTATTCAAACTGGGATTTTATACATATCAAATCCTAGTATGAAAACCAATAATAAAGCTTTGCACATTCGTTGCACTTATAGATGAACTGCTGTTTTTATACCCAGTTATCAAGGTTTTCTTGAACAAATTTATCCACTAGACCTCACTCTTTAAAAAAGGTTTTTCACTAATAACAAAACTCCCTGCCTGGATTTAAATATCAACATCATTCACCATACATTCAAATTAAATTCGATGACGAGGAACCCACTTTGAGACTAATAATGCTTGGAGACGGCTTGAATCGGTAATGAAGAAGAACTTTAATATAAATTTAACATAAAAGCAAATGTACAACGTTTCAACAAGGTTTTGTTATCATCAGGTACAAGTAATTTACACTGACACAGATATATATATATATATACAGTATTGAACAAAGATGTCACATGACCGGAACTGTTGCACGACTTAGAAGAGATATCTTGGCACACCAGGGTGTTCGTTTAGAGTAAAGTTGTTTTGTTCAATTAAGATGGATTCCTTGATTTTTCGTTTGTTTATGTCTGGTTCTTTGTTTAAAATGACTGTGTTTTTAATAGATATATTATGTGTTTTTTTTAAGCTGCAATGGTGGAAAACATGGGACGGTTCTTTTATTGTATTCTGTGAATCTGGTTTCCAATTTTTTTCCTGTTTCTCCTATGTAGAATTCTGGGCAGTTATTGCGTGTTATTTTGTAAATAACGATGATATTGTGTGATTCTAAATAATTTTGTTTAGTAACGATTTTAATTTAGGGCCGGGTTTTTGAGAGAATTTGACGTTGACAGGAATTTTGTGTTTAATGACTAGTTTTGTCCAAGTGTGGATTATTCTTGAGCTGGTTTCAGGGACAAAAGGTAAACTGCAGTGTAATGTACTGTTGTTGGGTTTGTTAATTTTGTTGTGGTGAATGTTGGGGAGTTTTCAACATTAGCTGGTGGAAATTTGTTGGTGTGAATGAAGGAATGCTTTATGTGGTTGATTTCTTCATCTATGTAGTCCGTTGAACAGAGTCTTGTGGCTGTGTTTTGAGGTTTTCAGTGTATTGATTTTGTATGTGGTGTCATGAGCGGAATTCCAGGGGATGTAGAGGCCGGCGTGTGTGTTCTTGTACTGAATTTTGGTTATCTTATATTAAAGAGTTTCTTCATTACCCGTTCAAGCCGTCTCCAAGCATTATTATTCAAATTAAGTGTTTTCAATAAAACTGACACTTTGAACTCATAATCTTTCTATTTCCAAATACAAATAGTTTATGTTTTCTACTTACAGCTTATTAGATGCAATACAATTTGCTCAACATCACGATATTTCAGGGACAGAGCTCGCTCTAGGTTTCTACCGTATTTTGAATACCAAATTCATACAACTTTGCATGAACTTTAATAGTCATGTTACAATTCATGGATTTAAAAGTTTTATAGTTTACACGTCTGCACTTTGATTTTAGAAATTGTTTGAGGTAATATTCAATGACTATGATATATTAAGCAACATTAGTTTTACCTGCCTTTAGTTTCAGCTCTTATTATATACATAGTTAATGCTAGCTATATAAGAGTTCCATATATGGTATAGCATTACGTCATTAGTTAAGTTACATTAGTTTTTGTTAGTCACTTTGTCATCTTTACCATTATTGAAACTGGTTTTTTTTTGTGATATTATTATTACTGATCTTGCTCAAATCTTATCGCGTGTATTTTGCGGCTGTTATAGAGGATTTAATTTTATTTATTACTTCCTGTTGCCTGCTATATGTGTGTGTTGTGAAGTAAAATAGGTTATCTAGTCAAATGACTTGTATTATACACATACCAAAGTATGGCAATATGTAATTTTTCTCTTAATTACATCTAACTTGGCCATATGAATTCTAACCAGAATACCAATATTATAGCTATTTATTGTACGACTCAAGTATTCATTGATATTATTATTTATTATGTTGTTTCTTTATGAAAATTAATTGTTTTTTTTTTCTTTGCTGCACAATCGGTAGTGTCCTGTTGCTCGACTCAAAAACTAACCAGTAACATATATTTTAAATAAAATTATTAAACTAGACATCAGCGTATTTTATTTGCACAATAACTTATTTGTAATGTTTGAAAGATATAAGTTAAAAAACTTTAAAAACTTTACATGTTTCAGTGGAAATAATTCCACCATCTTCAGGAGAATAAACCACGAAGTACACATGAAGTTTCTTATAAACCTAATTAGCATGTTTTTACAGTGACGCCATTTACAACAACGATTTCCAAAAGTTTACTTCTGTGACTCCTGGGCCTAAATCTATATTTATATTCATTTTGTTTTTAACACTTTCTAAGGATTCTCTAATATTTAATTCACCTTTTTTTCCGTTACCTGTTTAACTGTTTTTATATTATCTCAGTCAATAACGTGTAGAATTCGCCACAAGTTCTGCCAAAGCCGATTCACCCATTTTTAACTTATCCACCGCCTTTTGGTGAAGAAACATTAATAGCCCTGTAAACATATAAGATCGTCTCACCCATGGTCACAAAAAATGGAATAATGTAAAAATACTTAAGCAGGTAACGGAAAAAAGGTGAATTAAATATAAGAGAATCCTTAGAAATTGTTAAAAACAAAATTAATATAAATATAAATTTAGGCCCAGTAGCCACAGAAGTAAACTTTTGGAAATCGTTGTTGTAAATGGCGCCACTGTAAAAACATGCTAATTATACACTTACATTAGGTTTATAAGAAACTTCATGTGTACTTAGTGGTTTATTCTCCTGAAGATGGTGGAATTATTTCTACTGAAACATGTAAAGATCTTTTAACATATATTTCTTAAACATTACCAATAAATTATTGTACATGTAAAAAACGTTAATGTTTCGTTTTATGAATTTTATTTAAAATGTTTTGCACAAGAGCTGTCTGCTTTACGTATTGAACATATGTTTTGGTAAGTGTCAAGTTACATAGTAGGAGCAGTTTAATGGGTTTTCATTAGTCAGAAGAAGGTGAGGGAGGGTTGTGTAAACAATTATTTTTATATGGTTATGCTCGTGTTAAATTGCTCAAGAAACAATAAATCCGATAATAAAGTTATATTCTATTATTTCTTTAATTTTATTATCATAACATTATTTACTAGATTAGATTGTTTAATATATTTAGTTCTATTTTTTATTATATAATCTATTTTTCTTATCAAATTTATTATATGGATCTAGGGATAACCTAACATTACTAAGCTGGCAGAATCTTGTGAGATATTATAGGGATTATGGACGGAAATATCATTAACCGGGAGGGTGTGTTTTGTTTTTGAATTACGCGCAAAGCTACACGAGGGCTATCTGCGCTAGCCGTCCATAATTTAGCAATGTAAGACTAGAGGGAAGACAGCTAGTCATCACCACCCACCACCAACTCTTGGGTTACTCTTTTACCAACGAATAATGGGATTGCCCGTCACATATAACGTCCCCACGGTTGAAAGAGCGAGCATATTTGGTGGGACGGGGATTCGAACCCGCAGATTGCGAGTCGAGCTCCCTAACCTCCTGGCCATGCCGGGCCCTAATCGGGAGGGTACCCAAATGAAAAGACAATGCACAGTATATTTCATTCGCTATACTCATTATTTGTTCTGAGTAGGCAGATAAAGTTTCTCAACCATTATTTTGTTATTAGAAATATGTGACTTTGAGTTTTCGTAAACTTATTTTTGACGTTTTGTCTTTAGCGATCTACTTGTAAATATATACATATATTTATATATATATGCTAATATATTTGTTACCAACAATTGTATTAAACATAAGTAAAAACCGAACTATATATATATGTATATGCAGAAGAATATAGAGAGGGGTTGAAAACGTTGCGTTCGATGACGATAAGCGCAATATGTTATGAGCGAAAACTGCTTTGTCATAACTGCAGTATAGTAGGTGTGTAATATATGTCAATATGAAATTTAAACGAACGTGCGTAATGTATTCCAAACAGTGCACATTAATATGTACGAACGTGCGTAATGTATTCCAAACAGTGCACATTAATATGTACGAACGTGCGTAATGTATTCCAAACAGTGCACGTTAATATGTACGAACGTGCGTAATGGTACTTTGCACAACAAACGGAAATTTCATGATAACGAGAAACTGTCTATGTTAACCTGTACTTTATTTTAATTAAAGTTTATAATACCAATACCAGCAGTCTCTGCTATAAAATTAATGTATTCCAAACAGTGCACATTAATATGTTCAGCTGCTTTTGCCATTATTTTTAAGCATTTTTATAAAACATTGAAAAATTACCAAAGTTGTGAATAGCAAACGATTTACGCAATAAGAACATTGTCTTTGGGGTAAGAGTTGCACGCACTCAACCAACCGGATTGTACATTTCTTGTCAGAAAAAAGGTCACGAAATGTTACATTGTATAAATTAAAAATATCTACAATGCAAGCAGTGGCGTATCCTGGCTGGTGGCTTTGGTTTATCGCACTTGTATATAAATAATTGTATAACAGTAATCAAACATATAAAAATATCCAAAATCATCATGAAAAATGCATAACTAAAAATA